CGAAAAGAGATAAATCGAGAATTCATAGGAAAGAATGAAATGAAAAGGTAACAGTAAAGAAAAAGTTTTTAGTACCAGGGGGAGGTAGAGCAAGGGGTGTTGAGGCAAGAAGAAAAGTTTGTACAGCCTCAGGTAGCTGTGAATCGAAAACAAAGGTTAGAAAAATACATAAAAAGGGTCAAGTATACATACAAAATGATATAGAGAATAGTACCTCAGAAAGGGGTAGTGGTAACAAAAGTTGAGAATCGACATTCGTCGATATAGTCGCCGATGGTTGATCCTGGAGGAATACCGAAATTCGAAATCAGGTAACAAGTCCTATCGAAATCCAAAAATACAAAATGATGTAAAGAAGACACTTACATGACTGGAATGTGTTGTAGGGGTAATTTGACCCACTTCAGTAATTTTATTGGAGTCCGTCGACAAGGGATCAATGACAGGTGGTTGAATAGATCGAGGACTCTTCGATTTTTGTTTCTGAAAGTAGAAATCGAAAAACAATAGAAATATGTTAAAACCCACATGAAGCGACTATAAACGAAAGGTTAAAATAAACGGAGAATTGAAAAGAACCTTCGATCTTTTAGAAGAAGAAGAAACGGTGGCCGAGCGTTTGCGCTTTCTAACAAGAGCCGAAGGATCCGACTCATCTGAGGACTCCCAGTCCTCTTGTCTCTTCTCCTGACCTTTTTCGACAGTAATGGCTTTGGAGGACTTCGAGCAATAAAAGAAGACATAATTAGCTTACAATATACAAAGTCAAAAAACATGAAAAAGCAGTAAAACCTCACCAAAAGGTGATGGAGTCAAAATCTTGACTCGATCGATATGTACAAGCCAGGGAGGCAAGAGAACCTCAGGGAGATTAAGGTAAGGAAATAAGATAGTTTCGAGACAGAAATATCTTTGTTTTTGGGTTTTGGGCGAAGTGTTTCCCTTAAGGATCTCAATTCTCGAACCCATTTAGGATGAGTTAATGGTTTGGCAAGTCCAAAAGAAACTGTGGGAAAAGTGGGAAGGCGATTTGGATAATACATTTCAAAAGGGGTTCTACCTAGAGGATTGATTATTTTGTGGTTCGATCAATTAGCGTCTGTTTTATTGGATAAGGAGATAACAACATCATAATAGGTTGACTCTAATTTCAGTGGGGTGTAACATATTTGATAAAAGTTCTCGAATCGAGATATTTGAAGACAGTGAAAGTGTGTATCTTTCTTCGTTTTTGATTTATCCTGCAACACAAGAGAAGGATGAGCAGTCAGTTTCTGTCGAACTTCATCAAAAGCAGCACGACTACTCGAGAACCAACCGGCCCACCATTGAGAAAAACTCACAGTAGACAAATAATTTGACTCGAAAGCATAGGGGTAAAAATGCATCAGGGTCTTTGGTAAAAGCTTGACGAACTCCCGACTAATCGAAGATTCAGTTAACTTGGACCTTGGGAAGGTATCGAGGGGAAAAAAAGGTAAAGACTGGCTCAAACCAAACTGGCTCGAGAAAAGCTGAGGATAATAGGTTATAAACTTAAAGTCTTTTGACTGAAAACCCGATATTAATACATCATGGGTCAAATAATTACTCCATATATCGATCAGCTCCGATTGCAACCCAGGAGTCGAGGCAGGGAACTTTGACTTAAACCAAATTGGTCCCCTAAGATGGTCACTTAGTTGTCCAAGATGTGTGGTAAAGGGAGTCAAAGTCGAATCGAAAGTAAACATTGTCAACAAAAAATTAAGATATCTACAATAGACTGCTTCATCAGGTTTTTGGCGAGGATGACGAGAAGATAATCGAGCACCTTCTATATTCACACTTGGGGGAGTAGTGGAAGATGAGGGAAGGATGCTCTCAAAAATAGAGCTTAACCATAACTGTATAAACCAAATGGGGCCAGAAAAATTTCCCGACGCTTTAGGAGTGCTCAAAATTTCGACAGCCTCGTCGAAAGTGGTATATACATGGGCTAATAAAAGCTTAGCTAAACATACCCTAGGCTGGCCTACGTGAAGAAGATATGCAATGTCAAACAGATGAGAGGAGATTTGGATGGATTGGGGGCAAAAAACAGGGTACATAGCCAATATACCAAAAAAGCTATGTGTTCTTCGTCAGTCACAGCCTTTGAGTCGTCATCGACGAAGTGCTTCTCAAGAAAATGTCTGTAGGCCTTCGATTCCCAATCGATTTTGGACCTCAAAGAACTACTCGAAGGACATGCACCCTTAAAATACTTTTCCCCTATAGGCTTCAAACCAGTAATAGCCGCGATTTCGAAAAGGATGGGCGAAAGAGGACCGCAGGGTAATTCCAAAGCATGTAAGTCCTTATTCCACAAATAAACAGTGGATAGAAACATGGTTATATCCAAATAAGACAGGTCACATCGGGATAGGTGCAAAAAATCAAAAATTCCCACGCTTCTCCAGTGGTCCTCGAACTTAGTCTTAACCCTATCGAACCATCTGATATACAAGGGTTTTTTGGAAGGAGGGCCTGTCCTATACACCTTAGAGGTAAGATTCAAAAAATCAACCCTAACTTCAGGTTGGTGTACAAGAGCCGGACTAGTTGAGAGGTTGAGAAGAGTGAAAATTCCATCTATAGGACGAAGAGGACCCCCAAAAGCAAAATGAATACCTTCAATATTGTAAGGAATAAGTACCTGTGTCTCGGCGATTTTCCGAGAAGCCTCTTCCATCAAAGGAATTGGAGCAAACTTCTGGCTATTAATCTCCAGAAGAGGAGCCATCAGCGAAGGAAGAGGTGGAGCCAAAAAATCAGAAGATTTGGAGGAAGTGGTCATCTCAGTAACTAGTAGGACGAAGAAGAGTAAGGCAAAAGATGAAAACGCAGGGATGAGGACGAGCTCAAGGAAGAAGATGAAGTTGCAAAGGGTGAAGGTTCGCGTAAAAAATCAGAGTAAAAAAACCAATAAAGAGATTAAAAGGAAAATCACTTAGGGAGCTGAAAACGACAGAGGTGAAAGGTAATTAATATGACTTGTACCGTAAGGCAGCAGACTGACGAGACAACGACATAAAGCAAAAAAGAAACCCAAAACCCCTTAAACCCTAGAACCCCAGAAACCCTAAACCCTAAGTTCTGTGGGCCTCCAAACACTAAGGCGGGAATATTGAAAGAATATAAACAAACTATTCATATTCTTCCAAGGGGACATTTTGTTAGTGGCAAATCGAAAAAAGCTATCGAAAATGAAGGAAAGAAATGTGACTCGATAAAGATAAACAAAAATTCACTCGATGTCTAATTAGAAGTACGTAGCATATAGCATCGAGAAGCACAATCGAGAATCGAGTGAATGATAACCAAATGCTTGTTGTCGAATATAAACTAAGTCATATGAGATCAGGGTTAAAAAAGGAATCGTAAGCAATTTGAAGTGCTCGAAAAAAATACAGAATCGAGAGTAAAGAAAGCCTACGTGGACATCGAGACTTTGACCTAACCGTGATGAGAAGAATAAGTCAAACGTACGTATAGAGAGCAATTTCGAAACCTTGGAGGAAGTCGAAGATCGTGAGAACGTGAGAAACCGTAGAAAATAAACTGTCATATGCACGTAGAACGTGGTAGCAGTCTTGTTAACTGCTCCTGGAAAGCTTGAACAATGCCCTATAAATAGAGCAAAAGGGGAAAAAAGAGGGGGGGGACAGAAATTGGCAGAGGACAGAATCAGTAGTGAAAAGTCTACCGGAGAAACGACGAACACCATGAAGCTTCTGGCAATCTGGATTTCCTTGCTCACGGAGTACATTTATCGCTTTCTGTATTTTCCTTGGTAATTTATTTTGATGCAACTTAAATTCAGCAGTTTTATATTTTTGTATTTTCGATTTCTAGTCATTTCAATTCAATGAAAGTTTAAGCTCTTCCAATCTCGATTTCCTGTCATTTACTTTTCTTGTAATCTCGATTTCCTGTCATTTACTTTTCTTGCAATCTCGATTTCTTATCATTTATATTTGTGTTGTTTTCGATTTCTTGTCATTTACAATTAATGCAAACTTGGAGTTTTCGCACTTTACATTTCCTCGCAATTTAATATTCCATTTCTCGATTCGATACTTTTACTGCTTTCGGTATTTTAAATATAAAATACTAAAAAATAGCATTTTGATATTCTGTGACTTTCGATTCTCATACACGTTTTCGATTGAAAGTCAGATCTACTAGCTTAGGTAAAAAGAACTTACGTGGGAAGATTTTGATTAGAACCAAATCACCTTTAGAATCGAAATCGATCGAAATTCCACTAGAGACACTTACATATATTTATCTATACGAAGAGAAGACAAATAGCTTAATACCTTAATCAAATACAATATAAAAATAAAAAATATCGTAATACATGAGTATTATGGTGATAGTATGTAAATCTTGGAATCCAAATATACCTTTAATTTCAAATATTTCATATGCATAATCTTTGGGAGCAAAAGATTCCATGAGACTCATTGGTTTTGTTTTAATGACAATACATCAACTACGTTTGTCCAAATAATGGATATGGCACCAAACACACTTACCTTTCATCTTGTGCAATAATAAATTGGATGAAAAAAAAATCATCTTTTATCCATTCAAATATTTACAACAATAGCCAAACCAATTACAATAAAATTGAATTATATTTTTAGGATAACTTAAAATATTATACACTACTTCATAAATACGTTGAATGACTGCATAAAAATTACTTGTCTCCTCCGATAATTAAAAACAAATATAATAGATCAGCCACGTAATTAGTAAATTAATTGCTAAAACACCTCAAACTACAAATCTTGTGATAGATACTCCCCCACAACACATTCTTTTCTTTTCTTTTTTATTTATCATCTATAAATTAAATGGATTTTAATTTTTTTAAAATGATTAAATAGTAAATAAATATGCTTAAAAATTGTTAAATACTATTAAATAATACCAGTCATTGAAACGCCCACCGCAGTTGATAATTGAATATGCATACCGGCGTGATGAGCATCCACAACCCCACCGTAGCATTCACAACGCCACCCAACTACGCCGCGAGACTCTCCAACCTACTCACTCTCAGCGCCTACACTCCCCTCTGGTGCCCCACGCTCCTAATCCAACCCACCCCCTCCACCCTCACCTCCTTCCTCTCCCCTCATTCTCTCCACCTCTTCTCCGCCATCGCCTTTACCTCCCGAACCGCAATCCAAGCCTTCCTCCAAGCCGCCACCCCTCTCTCCCACCCTCCGCTCCCTCCTCAGGGCCCCACCTTCACTCTCGCCGCCCTCGGCAAAGACGCTGACCTCATCGACGCCCATTTCCTCTCTGCATTTTGCAGCAACTCCGACAGACTCTGTGTCCTCGTGCCGCCCACCGCCACGCCGAGTGCCCTTGCAGCGGCGCTCGGGGACGGATGCGGCCGGAAGGTGCTGTGTCCGGTTCCGAGGGTGGTCGGCGTGGAGGAACCGCCGGTGGTGCCGGGTTTCCTCCGGGAGCTCCGATGCGGTGGTTGGGTCCCGGTTCGAGTGGAGGCTTACGAGACGAGGTGGGCCGGTGCCGGGTGCGCAGAGGGCATTGTGAAGGCGAGCGAGGAGGAAGGGGGATTAGATGCGGTGGTGTTCACCAGTACCGCTGAGGTGGAGGGCCTTCTTAAGAGCTTGAAGGAGTTTGGGCTGGGCTTTGCAGACTTGAGGCGGCGGTGCCCCAGATTGGTTGTTGCGGCCCATGGACCCGTTACCGCGGCTGGGGCCCAGAGGCTCGGAGTGGAGGTTGATGTGGTGAGTTCCAGGTTTGGTAGCTTTGATGGCGTTATTGACGTTCTCAACCTCAAATTCGGAAGGTTTCGAGTTTAGTTGGTCGAATTCAAATGTTGAATTCGCAAGGTTGTTACATCTACTTTGAAATGGATTGTGCATATGTGTTTAATGTAGCCATAAATTCTTCAGAACTTTTAATGTAACTTGTATCAATAGCATGATGAAATTTTCATGATGTTTGTTCCGCTAAAAGTACACAAGATTGGCTCGATTAGTTCTTCAAAGCTTTGTCGGGATTTTACATATAACATAATTGAACTTGTCAATTGTAAGAATTTAATTGGAACCACCCTAATGTAATCACTATGATAATGTATGATTATAACACTACCCCATTTCGTTCATAAGAAACAATGAGAACATCAACCTAGTTTTAAACTTAATGATATTGAATCTGATTCTCAACTTAGATTCAAACTTTGGGATGAGTTATTGGATTTGATTTTCTGAAGTTAGATTTAATCTTTATGACGAGTTAAGCTTTTGGATGAAAATTAGTTACTTCACTAATAATGTGATCATTAACAAAATATCATGATTAAGCTCAAATATATCTGATCTAAATGGTAAGATGTAAAGATTTAACAAGAAAGCATGACGATAGAATATGACACTCAGTACTAAGAATTCAAAGGAATTCCATTTCAAATAAAAATTGTTTTATGAAGAGGATTGGGAGAGAGTGGGACAGAAATGTGTAGCACACTGAAACAATGGAAATACCCAAGACACAAGCTGCAAACTCCTTTAATTACATTCGTGCAAACTTTTACCTAAGCAATTACTATATGTTTCGAACGCTGTGACAAATAAAATTTTATTGCCCTTCTTTCGAAGTTCTGTCATCATCTAGATGCTTTAGCCCTGATAGAAGCTTGAGAACATCTTCCATGGATGGCTGGTCTGATGACTTGCTTCTGGTGCAAAGCATAGCAACCTCAAGAACCAGTTTAATCTCTTGCAATGAACTTGCGGAGCTTGCTTCATTCTCGTTGTAAATTTCTCTCAAGAGAACCTCCCATGGTTTGCTGTGTATGCTGGCTCCTGCATTTGTCAACCTTCCGGCACTTAAAATTTCCAGAATAATCTCCCCAAATTTGTAGATATCCATGCACAGTTCCTCTTTCGTGGCCACATCGTATTCTGTCACCAAAAGATGAACATGAACAAGTGTGAGATATAGTTCTCTACGAAGAACAAAAGGAATATGCTTCTACTGTATCAGTGGATCCAACGTAGACCACTTGGATATTGTTTCAGAAGCTTGAAGTGTTAATGGAACCATTTTACATAACATAACATGCATGTTATATGAGAAGAAAAGGGTAATAATTTAGTTTAATTTTCTTGCTGTAAAATTTTTTGCAGCAACAACTAATTAGAAATTATTCTAAGCTGTGTCAAAAAAAGAACTTATTCCAAGTACAACTGTTAAAGCAAATGTTATAAAATGCAATAGTCTTGCTATTCATGTCTGTTTGTTATACATTCTAAACAAATTCAATAATTGAATGATGTATCAATTAATGCATATGTATATTGTTTATAGTACCTGCTTCCCACTTAGTTGTTGTGGTGGGTGATGAGCCTTTGCTCAACCTGAACACTTGTTTGAATCCAAATTCTGCCAAATGGGGTTCCATATTTTCGTCAAATACAATGTTGCTAGGCTTCAAGTCTCCATGGGGTATTGCTGGGTAACATTCATGGTGAAGAAAGCAGAGTCCCCTTGCAATTCCAACCACTGTACTGAATTTTGCTGCCCAATCCCATTTCATTTCCATTTTCTCAGCCAAATTCCCATTGGGCAAGTAATCATACAAAAGATAGACTAAGTGCTGGTTGTGGCAAAACCCCAGTAGTCTGATTAAATTCTTGTGCCTTGAATTTCCCAGTCTCATTATAAATTCTGACACAACCTTGATGCTCCTCGCTTCCCATTCAATCTTCTTGACCAAAACTGTTATTCCTGTAGGCAGAACAGCCTTTGTAACTGCTGGTGATGGTGATGGAACTTCTGTTGGTTTTGTGGCATTGAGGCTTGTCAAAACATCATTTGCCGTGAATTGAGGGAGACCCTCGTATGAGACCATCTTCCATTGACTTTTTATCCCTCTTCTCAAATAAAATATTCCAAAAGTAAGTCCCAGAAGAACTATTAGCAGCCCTACAGAGAGTAGCACAATACGTGTAATCTTCCACGTGCCTTTGCTGCCGCCCAATATCCCAACTGAATCAGGACATGGTCTCAGGGGTGCTCCACATAGCTCTGAATTTCCAATAAATGCACTTCTTCCCATCAATTTGAATGACTTTGCTTTGGGTATTAAACCAGAGATATTGTTGAAAGACACATTCAGAAGTTGTAAACTTGAACAACTTCCAAACTTCGCAGGTATGGGGCCATTGAACTTGTTGTTTGATAGGTCCACTACACCGAGAACAGGAATACTTGCAAGCTCATCAGGTATATGACCTGTTAAATTATTGTTGGATAGTTTGATTTTCTCAAGAGCTTGACATTTGGAAGCACTGTTTGGGATGATTCCAGATAAGTTATTGCTATCTAGATCAATAACTGAAATTGATTTGCAGGGTTCAAATAGGGGAAGATCACCAGAAATACCACAAGAAGATGCCGAAAAATTTTGAAGTTGGGGCAAAGACCACGTTTGTGCCGGAATGGTACCTCCTAATTGCATATTATAAGACACGTTAAAATACTCCAGTTGAGTGGCTTGAGAAATATCTGAGGGAATGCCACCATCAAAGTTGTTCCTGGAGAGATCAACGTATACGATACCAGGAAGATGGCTGAATTTCAAAGTGATTTCTCCGGAAAAGGAATTATCTTCTAGGCGAAGGCGAACGAGGGAAGAACAATTGGAGATTGACGAAAGATCACCTGTGAAGTTGTTTGAAAACAGCATTAGTTTAAATAGTTCTCCACTCACACAGATGTCTGGTGGTATGGTGCCAACTAAATTGTTCGTGGAAGCATCCACCCACTTGAGTTTGGAGTTCCTCCCTAAGCTCTGTGGAAGTGACCCAGAGAAGCGGTTATTCCAAATGAGAAGAGTTTCCAAGGATGGGAGTTGCGCAATGCCTTCAGGAACAGTGCCACTCATGTCATTGTACATAAGACTGAGCAGTCTTAGGTTCTCTAGCTCTGAGAAGCTTTCAGGAATGGACCCTGAGAGGACGTTATCAGAGAGATCTAAATCTGTGAGAGATTCTATGTGACTGAGCTCACTTGGTACTGATCCTGTGAGCTTGTTTCTGAACAGGAAAAGCGATTGCAAACTGGTGAGGTTGGAGAGTTGCTTTGGTATGGGGCCAGATAGATTTGCTTCTGCTATGTCAAGATACTGAAGCTGACTCATGTTGCCTAGTTCGGGTGGAATAAAACTCTGGTATAGATTGTAGCCAATCTCCATATGGGTCACTGTTTTGAGGTTACCCAGTTCTGGAGGTATACTTCCTGAAAGAGAATTTCCTGCAAGATGAAGAAACTGAAGGCTTTTGAAAGAACCATATGCAGATGGAATTGACCCTCTGAAGTAGCTCCCAGCTAGATTGAGAACTTTAAGGTATGCAAGCTGTGAAAATTCAGCAGGCAATTGCCCTGAAAAACTGTTGCTAAAGGCATCAAGTACAACCAAATTTTGGAGTCTGGGAATTCCACCAGGGAAGGAACCAGAAAAGTTGTTTCTGCTTATGTCCAAGCTTGTTAGGCTGGTGAGGTTGAAAATCTCCGCTGGAAGCTGTCCAGAGAAGAAATTGTAGCTCAGGTTGAGATTAGTGAGGTTTGTGAAGATGCTGAATTGCTTCCCTGACAATATACCTGCCAGTTTCTTCATGGAAAGGTCTATAGAAGTTACAACGGTTGAGTCATTGTTACACATGATACCTGACCAAGAACACGCATAGTATTTCCCATTTAATTTTCCTCCCGAGGGCACCACCCAGTCGTGCAAGCTGTTATCATCATCTACAAGTTCAGATTTTAGGCTAAGGAGTGCCCCTGAGTAAGGGTCGATTGCTAAAACTGCTGATAACATGAAAGCAAGAAGAAGATTGATGTAGAAGCATTTGAAAATCTCCATTGGAACTTGGAGAGCACAAGGGAGAGGGACAATTGTATGTACCCTAAGCAAAGGCAAAGGCAATGGTGTCAGAATAAAAGAAGATTGTGCATATTTTTTGTTTTGTTGCATTAGGAATGCATGGGGAATAGAGAAAGGAAATGACACTGTACATATGAAAGAAGAGAACGACTATTCCGATTGATTAGTTGGTTCAAGAATATTATTATTGGGTTACTTTGGGGAGCAAGAGGGGACCCTGCTGTGTTTATTTATGTGGATGGTGTTTGCCATTAGGGAATAAAGCCTTCAAATATGAAATTATCTTTTTCTAACTTTTTCATTTTGGGGGAATCCCATAGGTAAGAGACGTCATGGCTAATTCAAATACTTTTATCTTTACTCTGTGCCTTGTGGGACATGGACATGGATCAAGTTCGTCCATATCTCCCTTGTATATATGGAGATCACAAAGGTCCCTTGCATGATCTTTTTCTTGACGGAAAGCCAAATTTCTTAATTCAGTAACATGGCTATATCTTGCATGAGAAAGATACGTTCTGTGGATAGAAAATTGTCATTTACTACAGTGTATGCTTACACTGCTAATCAATGGTTCCCATTCTTTTATCTAGTTAAATAATTATGAGGTTTGATGCATGGGTGTAAAAAGTTGAGATATGATTAAGGTTTCGTCATTAACTTAGATTAAAGTGCCATGTAAACTCATTTTATAAACACCCATTCTTTTCACAATCTCCAGTCAGCAGGATAAAGGTTAAATGCTGTTTTCCAGCCCATTCAACATGATCTTTTGTTACTACTATTGGGTTTGGGAATAGTGAATCTCAGGTGAATATGATGTACACAATTTCAAACAAAATTGCTACAGCCTTCATGGTGTTGCAGGTAGCATCAATTGTCCTGTGACGAAGGTCAGGTGGGCCGAGTCACAATTGAATCGTGGCGCTTGGGCTGTTAAAGTAAAAAGAGTTGCGCTCTGACTAATGGCTATAGCTTTTGGCCTAGAGGTAAGCGCTCGATCCTAACAATTGGTATCAGAGCCAAGGTCACGAGTTCGATTCCTGGTGGGCAATTGTTGAGGGGGAGATTGTTGCAGGTTGCACAATTGTCCCGTGGCAGAGGCCGGGTGGGCCAAGTCACAATCCAAGAGTGGGATACCTTGTAGGACAATTGCTGAGGGGAGATTGTTGCAGGTAGCATCAATTGTCCTGTGACGAAGGTCAAGTGGCGAGTCACAATTGAATCGTGCGCTTGAACTGTTAATGTAAAAAGAGTTGCGTCTCGACTAATGGCTATAGCTTTTAGTTTCAAACAAAAGAGTAAGCATTGTTTTTAATTGATATCAGAAGAAAATTTCTTTTTAGACATTTAACAGAAAAGAAAGAAATAAAATTATTTCTTTTATAGTTTAAGATTAATTTATATATAAATCAAAAAACTATATTTTTATAATTAAATTTATGTATAACTTATTTTTAATTAAAAAAAACTTATAAAAAGTTATCTAAAATACAGTCATATACAGGAAGTAAGTAGGAAGAGCTTTCTCAACGACATGACAGTAGCAGGTGCTCCAAAGGAACAGAGAAAGACAAGGTTTGTGATATAAAGGGTATCTTTTATCCCCTAAATTATGACATGATACAAATCAAAAATTACATGAGTGTGAACATCGAATAGATGCTTTGGTGAGACATTTCATTATTTGATATTTTTCACTATATAAATATAAATATTGAGTGCCATTTTTGTAGAAGTGAGAGTATCTTTCGGACCTTTTCTTTCTTTGAGGAATCTTTTAGTTGAAATTAAATAATAATATGTTATGGTATTGGGATTTATTTTAAAATCTTCTTTTTTCATACATTTGGGACATAAAGATCAAACCTTTAATTAAGGTTATACTAACATTAAAGTGCAACTCAATTAGCTGTTACAATAATCTAAAATATTTCTTATATAAAAAAAAACATTTTTTTTCTTAATCAAATAAAACAATACTAAAAGAATAATAAGATTTTTAATCATGTCACTCTTTATATATGGGTATTGAGAACACTTAAAATTTTAATGTTTCATTTCTTTTATTCACTTATTGATATGTTCTAATATATATATTTAAAATATTGATTTTTATCTGAAGTTTATTTTAAATAAATTATTGTACTTTATTATTCACAAGTGATTTGATTTTGTAAGATTTAGTTTCTCTGTATTGATACTATTAAAAAATCCTCTTCAAAACTCTATGAGTGTACACAGTCCAAAATTTGTGAGAAAATTTTCATATTAAATATACAAAAGTATCATTTGCTTTTCAAGTATAATGATAGGAAAAACATTGTCTTCTTGTTGAAGTGGTTTTAAATATATGTCCTTTACGATCACGAAAATCACCAAAGACAAATTGCAGAATGCATGTAAATTTATTGAATTCTGCATGAGAATTTCTGAAAAAACGACAATACAAACCCTACTTAATTGGTGCCTTTTCACGAGAGCCAGGGCTCTGCAGCAGCTACTCTCACATAGCCCCCGTGACTTGCAGAATATATAATGAATACTTTGTTCATTGCATTTGCATGCGTTTGAGTTGTGGTAATTTTCTGAGATGTAAAAATATTTAACGAAAAGATTCAAAAAGTAGTAAATGACTGAGACAAATGATGATAATGTCATCCCTGGATATTAAATATTGTACCTAAAGGATATGGTGGTAATTTCACGTCACTTGTGCAATATAAGATAGGAGTACCACTTGGTTATTTTTTATTCAATTATCACTTCAATTATATATCGTTCAAGTTTAATTTTATTTTAATATTAAATTTTAATTTATTATTCAATTTATATCAGTTTTATAATTTTTATTATTATAAAATAAGTAAAGATTAGTTCAAAATAAAAATTAGAGAATTATTTTTTTTTAAATTATAATTTATCTTAATTATGAAATTACAAAAAATTACTCTTAAATTAAGTATATATTTTCTCTTATAAAATCATAAAATATATTTTTAAAAATATTAAATATTTAAAATAAAAATTATTTTTTATTTTATTTATAACGTTGATTTTCTCGTGTTTATAAATAAATTATATAATTTTATACTTACAGATTATAATATAATTTATCAAATATATTACAAATGAAATACAATCAAATTCGAAATCATTTCAAATATTTATGTATATTTATAAATAAATGGTTTACTTTGGTTTTGTTTAGTTATTTATTTTCATCTCAATAATTAAATAAAAAATATTATTTTATTAGTTTTTAATTTATTTGATAATTTTTAAATATATTTTTAGTTTAATTAAACATAGTTTTAAGAATACATTAAATAAAATGTTTGCAGTTAGAAAAAGACAATAATAATTTTTATAATAAATAATAAGAAGAGTGTATTCCTTATCCATAATTTTCCTAGTACTGGTTATAGTCAACTTTTTATTGATATTATTCATCATATCATATATTTATTAATATTTTCTAAATTAGTACTATTTATTGTTGACATTTTTTTGGTTTATCCTTTGATATTTTGTAAAGAAATTTGATTTGCATGATATATTTGAGAGAATTGTTGAAATTTTCGTTTATTATGATTTACTTAATTTAAAAACATGTTCTTTCAATGAATTTTATATTAATAATATTTGTAATAAATTTGTCTCATGATATATATATATATATATATATATATATATGTATAAAAAAAGTATAAATATAATATATTATCTTTTACAATATATATACAAACCTTATTAATTTCTTTTGTAATTTCTTTTTTTTTCTCATCTTGTTCCAAAATAATATAAGAATCATTACTCACTTTATATATTTTGACTGTATATTTTATTTATTATAATATATTTTATTTGTCATAATAGTATGAAAATATTAAATTTCAGACATCTTTCATAATGAAAATTTATATCTAAATAAAAACTAATATGTAAAATCAAAGCTTATTAAATTAGTTATAAAAAAATTTATCTAATAGTGATTTAATATGAAAGGCGAATTAATTTAAAAAGTTTTTATTTAGCAATGAATTGTATAAAAAGATAATTTTTTTTAAGCACATCATAAAAAAATTCACCTAAGTTGGTATAAAAGGATCTTATCGAGTTTATGAAAAAAAAAAATTGTCTAATAATGAACTAGTGTCAAATAATAAATTTTTCATCAATTGATTGGAAAGGGTGAATAAAGATAGATCTTCTTAAAAACTGAGAGAGATTATGACCCACTAATGTAACTTTTACACGTATTTATGATTTTGATCCTAAAACTTAATAATCATTGAATATATTTATTTGTATATTTACAATTTTAGTTTTTTACATCTTCATTTTCTTTTATCCTTTATATTTATTTATTATTTATTAATTATATATTATTTGACCCAAAATTCAATAATCAAGATAAATATAGTATAAAAGAAGAAATTTGTTTACCCATCATAATAATTATCTTTCCATATCATTACATTTTATATCACCTTAGTTACAATTATAAATTAAACATATCTGGATCATATATTTAAATCAAACACATTTTAGATATAATAAAATTCACTTTAGTCTCAATGATATTTATAAATTAGTAATTTAAATAAAATATATTTCAACAAAAAATAATTAAAAAAAATCTTGTTAAATTGATATAGTCACATCTATGATAAAAAATAATAATTGATTCACATAAATAAATTAAAGAGTAACTCAATTTCAATTTCAAGATTAATAAAAAATATTCTCTCATTTAATTATCTAAAATAAATATTAATATAATAATACTGTAGAAAATAAATATATAATTACTTTATTATAAACTAAAGAATCTCATGTTGAAACAATTAAATTAAAAAAAAATATATTTAATAAAATTGAAGGAGAAAAAAAAAACTACTCTGCAAACTCACCACACGGACGAACCATCACACATTTCCAACATCTACTTTCAATCAATGATTTTTGTTCACTCTTTCATGATTGTTAAACTTCTCCCAAATTTCATTTGTTCTACTAAGCTTCTTCCTTCCATGATTTTGGTTTCAAGGATCACATTGTGACATGATGATGGAATTAAAAAGCAG